CGCGGCGCCGGCGAGACCCTGCAGGCCGCCAAAGGTCAGTGCCGGGGCGGGGTCCCCGTGCGAGTCCCCGTGCAAGGCCCCCGTGCAAAGCCCCCGTTGCAACGTCCCCACGCCAGGTCCCGTTGCAAGGTCCCGCTGCAAAGTTCCCAGTGCAAGGCCCCCGTTGCGCTGTCCCCACGCGAGGCCCCCGACGCAAGGTTCCCTGTTGCAAGGTTCCCCGTTGCAAGACTCGGGTGCGAGGTCCCCGTTGCAAAGCCCCCGTTGCAAAGCCTCGTTGCAAGGTCCCCATTGCAAGCCCCTGTTGCAAGGTTCCATTGCAACGTCCCCGTTGCAACGTCCCCATGGCGAAGTCACCGTTGCAAGCCCCTGTTGCAACGTCCCCATTGCCAGGTCCCCATGCAGGATCCTGTTACAAGTTCCCCGTGCAAGATCCCGTGCAAGCCCCATTGCAAGGTCCCCGTTGCAACGTCACCACGCGTGCCCCCGTTGCAAGGTCCCCGTTGCAAGGTCCCCACTGCAAGGTCCCCGTTGCAACGTCCCCATCGCAATGTCCCCATGCATGCCCCCGCTGCAAGGTCCCCGTTGCAAAGCCCCCGTTCCCATCGCAACGTCCCCACGCAAGGTCCCCGTTGCGAGGTTCTGGTTACGAGGTCCCCCGCGCAACGTCCCCGCGCAAGGTCCCCGTCGCAATCCCCGTTGCGAGCCGCCGCGGGCCCCCCTGGCTGACGCGCGGTCCCCGCAGGCCGGGAGGAGTACGTGGCCACCTTCAAGGGCAACGAGTTCTTCTGCTACGACCTGTCCCACAACCCCATCCAGAGCAGCACGGACGAGCTGACGCTCTCCTTCCGCACGCTGCAGCGCAACGGGCTGCTGCTGCACACCGGCAAGTCGGCCGACTACGTCAACCTCTCGCTGAAGAGCGGCGCCGTCTGGCTCGTCATCAACCTGGGCTCCGGCGCCTTCGAGGCGCTGGTGGAGCCCGTCAACGGCAAGTTCAACGACAACGACTGGCACGACATCCGCGTCACCCGCAACCTGCGCCAGGTAGGGCCGGGGGAGGGGGGCGCGGCGGGGGAGGGGGGCCGAGGCCCAG